ACGAGCCGAGTCTCGTGCTGGCGGTCCACGAGGATCGGAGTGACTCCCCGTTCCCGAAGAACGTCCCGGGATGATTTCATCCACGCAGTTAAACGCTCACGAGCGGATCCAGATCACCGGTGGGAACCTCTCACCTGCTACTCCCAGGTCTCCTCCGGGCTTCACCGCCAGCGCCGGTCTGTTCCCACCCGGAGCTCCTGCACCTGCAGTACGGGCGAGGTCAAGAATGCCGGCGACCCCGGCCCCCGCTCCGTACGTCCCCGTAACCGACAATCCCTGCACCATTCCTGGCACGAGATCACCCAGCCGATCCATAACCCTTCCGCGGCGGCTCCGGATCACCTCGGTGGGGCTGCTGGAAGGAGCAGTTGGGATTTGATCTTGGCTTCGCCCTTGTGAAGCCTTTAAGGAGGTGAAACGCCAACACCGAGCAGCGGCTCTTCTTCCTGCAAGGCTCGGGCTTCGCGCCGAGGCCACCTCGCTCTTCTGAAACTCGGATCCACGAAAGACATTCTTACTTTTGCCCCAACGATGCATCCTTAGGATCAGCACCCGGACCCTCTGAGGGAATTTCCTCGCCAGATATCGGGGGTTTTACTTGAAAAGGACCTTCACACGGGTTTTTAGAGCGTCCCATCCCTGCTCGTTTCCCTTCTCCCCCTTCGCAAAGGGCCACTCTCCTGCCCGTTTGTGGTAACGAAGCCTGCAAGTCAATATTTATATTTCCTGTTTGAGCTCTGTCTTGAGGCTTACCGGCAAATATTTGCAGTGTCTGCAACATCCGCCTTCAAAAACCCCTTGAAATTTCAGGGAAAAGCCTTTTTTTTGGCAGAGCAGGGGCGGCAGACGAGGGCCGAAGCCGATCCCGCGGCGCGGCACATGTTTTTCAGCTGCTCTGGAGCTGGCAGAAGGGCTTTACGCTGCTGACGCCGTCCATGAAACAAAGCAGAGCTGTTCTGCAAACAGGTTTGATAAAATACATATTTACACACGGTTGGGCGGGCGACTTGAGTTAGCAAAGCGCGGCTGACTCCTGGCTCGGGTGGAATTACCCACGGCTTCAAATATCTGGTTTTAGGAAGAGGAGGCTGGAGACCGCGCAGGTTTCCATTCGGAGCATCCCCGACGGCGTCCTGGATCCCCTCCTTCCTTAAAGTCTGCCCCCAAAATAATCACGTTAAAGGACAAAACGAGACGGAAACCAGAGCTCGTCTCACGGCGCTTCAGGTCCCCCCCAAGAGAGGAGCGGCTGCACAAGACTTCAACGCGTTTCCCTAACGAAGAACTAAGATTTATCACCCAAATGACGACCGGCTTTGACCCCGCTCAGGTCCCGACCCCCTCTGCCATTTTAAAACCCTGCACTAATATCCCCAAACAGAGTTAACTACCTTAGTAGTTAATCTCTTTATTATTGCTCGGCGGATTAAGCCGAAGAGCG